TTCTTTCTTCCTTCCTAGAGTGAAAAGCCTGTGGCTATAACAACTTTGGAGTTCATTGGAAGAACCACCATCAGGATGAGCTCTACCACCCATTGAGCTGCAACACCTTCCTTTTCTGACTCCTCTAGAATGGACCTGCTGGATGGGATAAGATAGGGCCAGAAACCTCCACATTTGCTTCAGTGATTACAAAGCATATGGTTTCTCCAGGACAATGTCTCAGTGTCAGGCTACAGAGAGGGCTTAGAGGAGAGTTGTCTCAGGAGCAAAGTACCTGTTTTCTCCTGCTGTCTGCTCTTGGTGGCTTTGTGGGTTGGGCCCAGCCCAACTTTACTCTAGGAAGGGAATCATTCCTCAGGGCCCTGGGGACCAAGGCAATTCCAAGCCAAGTCTGGTGCAGGTACTCTGAGCCTGTTCCTCTGGCTGCCTTTCTTCTCGCATGGTGTCCAGCTGTTGGTAAGAGTTTTACCATGCTTAAGGGGTCATAGTCTATATCCCTAGAAGTCAGATTTTTTCCATCTATCCATGATAAGCTAAATTAATAGTAAAAAGTAGAGAGAGGAAGATAGACAGACAGACAGACAGACAGACAGACAGACAGACAGATAGATAGATAGATAGAATGGAGTGGTTAATATGGTCACATTGGGCAGAGGGACAATGAGATCCATTAACCTAGTCCAATCAGTCTTCAGGGTCCTGAAGTTAAGTTTCATGTGGAGGTCAGAGTTATGCTTCTCTAAGCAGTTCCAGTCAAGATATGGCTCTGTCCATCATTATCTGAGCCCCAATACCTCCATTAAGGTAGTCTGAAAAATAATCAGCACTGTGGGAAATCTCTTTTCTTATAGGCAAGTTCCTTCTTTAATTTTCAATAGGCTTCAGTATTTCTCTTTTTCCCAGCGTGAGATTGCTGATGGGCATTCCAGTTTTTCAGGGGTCACCTGATCCTAAGGGTCTCTTAACCAAAAGGAGAGACACAGGTGTTTCTTCAAATTATCTTTGTTCCTGTCAGATAGATTACCAGGGCAAGAAGAAGTTCAGTAGACCCTATGCTAGAGTGCTTCACAAGCTATCTCCTAGGTCCTGAGCAAACAGTCAATACGGATAATTCTTTTGAGGTGGGAACACCTCAGTTGAGTTATCCTGAAGCAGCTTGGAATCTCCATGCCAGGGCTGTGCTCTTTGTGATCTGGGAACACAAAGTTAAATGAAAGCATGAGCAAGGGGAAGCTTCAAATCCTGATGTCTATGACCGGCCTGACGGTACTCCTTGAAAGCATTTAAAGAGCTTGAAAGCTCATGACTGTTACTGGCCCACAAGAATCAAATCAAGTGGTCTAGATGACCTACGAGCAGAGCCAACTACTGCTGCATTTTTTGGCCTGTCTATTCAGGGAGGTAACAAAAAGAAAAGAAAAGAAAAGAAAAAAGAAAAGAAAAAGAAAAAAGAAAAGAAAAAGGAAAACAAAAAAGAAAAGAAAAAGGAAAAAGGAAAAATAAAATATTCAACAGACCTTCTGACAGCATACACTGGCGACTGCATGCAAATGATTGTTGTACAAATTTTTAAGCCTGACCCAGGCTTTCTACCCCACCTTTGACTATTTAGTTCCTGGACGCAAACAACTTTTACAATTACAATAAGCTTTAAACAGCACAAGAGCTGGGCAGGTACCTACACTCTATGCTATTAGAATCTACTTTTCTATCGAAACCCTGAATTATTACTTACTATGATCCTTCTGGGCTGCTCTTACCACCAATTGGCCAGCCCTCAGAGTCATGTTTCTTTGACTTGCCTAACCCATGGTGGCTTTTCCTTCCTTCTTCACCTTTTTCTCTTCATGCTTCTCCTCCAACCCCAAGCCTAACTATTAGCTGTTGGCATCTTTATTTACCAACCAGAAATAACTGGGGGGGGGGGGGGGGGAGAGGGGGGTAGGATCACATAGCTTTTATGTGTGGACTCTCTTGTCTCTGGGGCAACCAGTCTTGAAGAACCTATGTTAGCATTAGAATACAAGTAGCATCAGGCCAACCCACTACAGATGATGGGGTTAGAAGTCTGAGGGAATCACCTGGCTAATGCTTTTTTATGTGTGCTAGGGTCTCATGCTATGTGGCAGTGCCGGTACTATGGTTTAGAGGTAAACCCACAGGGTTTCCCGCAGGATCACTAGTTTGCAGCTAGTGGTGCTCTTTGGGAAAGTTGTAAAATCTTTGTGAGGCGGGTTAAAAGGCTTGAAATTTATAGACAGTTTGATTCTTTCTCTGGACTCCCCTTCCTGTTCCATGGGGTTGTAAGTTCCATACGTACATTCTCACCACCACCACCACCATCTATTTGCTTTCACTGCTCCTGCCAGCTGGGAACCCAACTAAACCCTTTTTTCCATTAGTTCAGCAGTTTTCTACCTGTGGTCCAAAGAACTCTGTCACCAGGATCACTTGAGACCATCAGAAATATCAGATATTTACATTACAACTCACAACAGTAGCAAAACTACAGTTATGAAGTAGCAACAAAGATAATTGTCCGGATGGGGTGACCATCCATATCTTTATTGACATTTATCAAGTATTCTGCCATCGTAACAAGGAAACACGTGGTCACTGGTAGGGAATTTGGGAATCTCTGGATGCTTAGTCGGTCTACATCAGTGGTTCTCAGCTTTCTTAATGTTGTGGCTCTTTAATACAGTTTGTCCTGTGGTGATTCCCTCCCCCAACCATAAAATTATTTTTGTTACTACTTCATAACTGTAATTTTAGTAGTGCTATAAATCATAATACAAATATCCAATATGTAGGATGTATTTTCATTGTTACAAACTGACCCAAAGGGGTCACAGCCTTCAGCTTGAGAACCTGCTAGTCTACATCATCCTGTCACTTGTTGACTAGAGAAATCCATAACAGAGGATTAGTTCTCATTGTTTGAGAAATGTTTGTGGTTACATTAATTTGGGGGATCCCAGAGAATTTCACAGTCAGTCCTGGATCCCAAATTCAAGGTGGGAATGTTGATCAGGACCCATCCTTCAAGATGGTGAACATGATGGCATCCATATCCTGCACTGGCTGTGACTCCAGTATAGGTGTTCCTCCAAACTAAACACACACACACACACACGCACACGCACACGCACACGCACACGCACACGCACACGCACACGCACACGCACACGCACACGCACACAGAATCTTTGTGGTGGTATTAAGAGGTGAAATCTTTAGGGACTGATTAGGTCATAAAGGTTCTAGGGCATGGTTTTGCTGAGTGTGAGTTCAACCCTTCCTTCTTTCTACTGTGTAATCAAACTTAGATGGTACCATCGTAAAGAGCCCTTAGCAGACACAGAGACTCTTAGTGCCTTGATCTTGGGGCTTTCCAGCCTCCACAGCCGCAAGACATGAATTTTTTGTTTGTACGCTCCTTCTCTAGCATTTAGCTAGAGTTACCCAAGGAGGCCGGGACACACAGTACAAAATAAACACTCTACTTGTTAAAAGTACTGGCAGCAAATGGGAAATGGGAGAAGGTGAATTTTCATCATCACCATCATCAACAAAAACAACAACAACAAACTAATCTTGTCATAAAGAGAGCAATAGGAAAATGGATCACAGACACACAAGGAGGGGTCACGATAGATAGATAGATAGATAGATAGATAGATAGATAGATAGATGCTGATCTCCACTAGAAATAAAAATTCTTGTTCAGCCCAGTTCATTAAAAATGGAGACTAAAAACTACACCAGGATCCTATTTGCATTGATAAGATAGTGAGACTCCAAAGGATAGATAAGAATGCTCTTTACTTAAAAACAAAAGAGTGTACAGATTATTATCTATGTTTATCATAGGGACCAAGTTATCCACTGGGAATAGTGATCTAAGTGGCAAATACACCTAACCCTTTGACTTACCACCTCATTGGTGGGAAGCTGCCCTTGTGTATACTTTCATACACTGAGTGACATTCTAGACAATACAGTACTGCCCACAACATAAAAAGTCTGCCCAAAAAGTTATTTTTTATTTAAAGAAGTTAAACATGCTGTGCTAAATTCCGGCTAGAGAATACATGCAACTGTGAAAACAAAAACAAAAAACAAAAAGCAAAAAGCATCACAGGACCATGGGGAGAAAGCAGGGTAAAAAGAAGGCAAGAGGAACTGGAATGGGTTCTTTATGGGACAGATCAAAGATAAATCCACAGATGTGCTTTCTGTGCCAGATGGCAGGTGCTGTGTTCTGAAAACGCGTCTGTCTAGCAGCGTGTGTGTGTGTGTGTGTGTATTCATTCATGGAACTAATCTGAACGCAGTCAGACTCTGGTGCCACATCTGCCTCAGTGGCATAAGGAAGGTCAGAGTGGGGCTGTCTGGTGTCAGGCTGCCAGGGAAGAAAGGTTCTTACTAAGAGATGAGTAATTGTCGTGGGGTCAGGCAGAGGGCGCTGTTTGCTCAGTGTCACGCAGACCCTGAGTCGCCCTCTCTGGTCGGACTTCAATGAGACACCAAGGCTGGCGGAAGCTGGAATGTTCCAGAAAGAGCACCAGCGGCACCCTGTAGGGGGCAGTGTGAGGAGAGCGACCCAAAACCAGTTGAATCTCCGACTTCGCCAGTCAGACACGGGGACCCATGGTCACGCTGAGGTACGGGCTGCTGAGGAAGTGAGTGTGGTGGTGGTGGTGGTGCCGGCAAATTAACCACTCATTTCAAGGGCCAGCAAGTGGTCCAGAACATCTACTGTCTGGGGTAGAAAGTGTGAGAAGGGTTCTCTGTGGTGTGAGGGCTTGGAGGTCAACTGAACATGGAGATAGGGAGGCCGGGGGCAGTGGCGGGGTTGTGGGTGAGGGTCGGGGTGGGGGTAGGGGTGGGATTAGGACCAGGAGAGGGAGCGTTCTGTGCCACTCAGGACTGGGGACTTGAGTGAGCAGAGCTAGTCACACGCTCCTCTCCTCAACAGGACCAGGCATCCTCTGGAGATGGCGATCCTACTGGCCTTGCTCTTAGTTGTGGGCTTACCGCAGACGGGCTGTAAGTACTGTGTCCCTAAGCCCCAAAAAGATTACAAGATGGCGAAGGCTAGAGACTCCAGAGAGAGTCAATTGTGGTAGGGTACACTAAAGTCCAGGAATGTGAGACCCAAGGTCATGAAGCTACGGCTGGAGGTGGGGGTGGGTGAGATGAATGTGTTTCTGATTTGGAGTTTCCCCTAGGGGCAAGCATGAATTGCTCATTGCCAGGGGCTGCTGGGCTGTCTCTCCCATCACTCTTCCTTCTTGTGAGGAAGTCCTAGAAAACCGAGACCACCCTGGCCTTGGAGCTTTAGTATGTCCGAGGATGGGGAATCAGTGGGACAGGGTGCTCCCACTGTCTTCCCCAAACCTGGAAGCTGCCATAATCCTGACCCAGGAGAGATACTATTGCCCATCTAAGATGGGACCTGGAAACAAGCAGGGTGGAGAAGAGGGTGGCTGTCGATTGAAAGTAAAAGGTGGGTTCATGCAGTGTTTGCAGATGGGAAGATCCAAAAAAAAAAACACAGTCGAAAGGAGAGGGAACCTCCAGAGGCTGAGAACAGAACAGATCGGAGGCTCCAAAGCCAGTTGACGTGCACAGACTGTGGGCATGGGGAGAGTGGGGGCTCAGTGGACTAGAAAGGATGGCAGGTTTGGTACTGCAGGATGAACAGTGGCCTCATTTTCTCTTTTCTCTGCTCTCCAATCCCCCACTCTTGGGTTCACAGCGATCGACTGTCACTCCTGTGAGTCTGAGAACAGCTTCGACTGCTCCAATTCGGTCCAGTGTCCTGGCGAAAAAGAGTTCTGTTTGTTGGTTGCCACACGTAAGTGTTGGTTCATTCTGGGTTCTCCCTTGGGTCCTGTGGGCAGAACGAGAGAAACGCTTTCAGGAATTGAAGCTGTCAATCAAAGGTGACCTTTAAAAAACAAACAGAGAAACAAAAAAACACAGGAGAGGAAGAGCTCTGAGAAGCAAGTGCAGGCCTCAGCACTGAGTAGCATGACCCAGGCAGGGGTGCAATAGCAGCAGTGGGTCAAATGTATTTAAAACTCTGGGAGAGTAGTATAGCTTTATCTTTTTTTTTAATTTTTTTTTTTAATGAAGCTCTAATGATGTCAAATGCCTTACTTGGAATAGCATCCAGGGAGGTTTTATGAAGGACTTAATACCAACAGAGTTACAGCTTAATGTATATTCTTGGAGAAGAGGCTATTGCTTTGATGGTTGCAGACTGACTCAGTCCTTTAGGATTCACTACTGGCTACAAGAATTTCTTAAAGTGGATCCAGGGAACCCCTAACATTCTATCTATAATAATGTTGTCAGCCGTATCTCTCTGTGTTCTAAGAAATTTGTAGGATGGTAAAGCAGGGGGTGGGGGTGGGGGAATAAACTATCTTGTGCAATGCAAGGTGAGGGTCAAAAACTAGCCTCCCACCTGCATCTAAGCCAGCATGGCCAGAAGGCCTCGCTGTATGCTTCTGTCTGTTTCAGTCACCTGAGCCAGCCCTGTGTTTAAGAAGATCAGGGATCCCGTGTTTGTAAATAGAGCTCCAAATCTTTATAGTATGTGTAGGACGACACAGTCCATCCTGAAGCAGCTTGGCCCTGCTTTCTAACTGATGCTTTCATTTGGCAAAGCCCACAATGGGTACAGTTAATCCAGAGAGGCTCTGATAGTGGGGCTTTGAACTCTTAATATCTTTCTTTTTCTTTCCCATTAGGAATTTTCGAACGTTTCTTCTATGTGTCAAAGCAGTGCGCTCGAGTGTGTTCAACCCCTGCAGTTACACACCCTAGCAGGTCTCAACCAATTGAGCCTAAGGAGTTTCTGATCGAAAAACCCATGCCCTTCTTATATGTAAGGTGCTGTAAATGGAACTTATGTAATGACAAGGGGCCACCCTCTATCCAGATGTTGAAGGAACAGCCTGGAAAAGCCAGCGAGAGAAGACATAGATACACTGAGCTGTTACTGCCTGGCTTCATGGTCCTTATTGCTAATGGCCTCTCAGCCCTCAGCCTGCTGTAAGCCACAGAAGGACCTGGAACATGCCTTGTGGGGCTTGAATTCTCTGTACCCTGCTGGATCCTTCTAATTAAATGTATCTTTCCTTTGTTACCTCGTGGTTTAAGTTCTGCAGTCTCTGGAGGGGCAGGTAGGATGCAAAGTTCCCTAGCTGTCAGCACCAGCAACTCCTCAGCTTCTGTATGAACCATTCTCAGGTCTTGCCACAGTTTTGCTGGCCACTGTCCCTGGAATTAAGCCTAGGCTATCCCTTTTTATTCCACTGCCTCTGAGTTGATGGGGAAGGAAAGCTCACATCTCATCCACAAACACAATATGCAGAGGGACCCAGGATCCAAAGGAAAGATGAAGTAATTAGAGGTAAATATTCTGAAGGGAAAACAACTGTGTTATCTAGCTCACTTTCTGACACATGAGCACACAACTATAAGTTTCTACCCTTAGATTATTTTTTTCCCGTCAGAAACTTGGGCCAGATAGATGCAGCAGGTATATGCTCTCCACATTTCCAGCAAGCTGCAGCCATCCATAGGAGCTGACCTCTACCAAACAAGGACTTCCTGCCATGGATTTTGCCTAGCGTCAGGGCAGGGTGTACCTATACACTCTATCTCCTCTCTGATCTTAGGTAGCTGGGTATAGAGGATTGGAGAATCTTCTAGAAAATATATACTGTTCCTGAGGCATCTCTATCATAGGGGTCAAGGTCTACTTAGGGGACAGGGAATAGGAAGAACTCTTGTGGGACAGACAGTATCTTCAGGACTGGAGTTGGCCTCTCTAATATCATCTGTCTATCACAGGCTATGAGTTTACACCCTGACCATGACCTGACCAATAACAACAGCCAGGCCATTCACATAAAAGTTGAGTAACTCAAAGAAATAGGTTTGGGGGTGGGTGGGTGCAGGGGTTGGTGTACACATCAGAGAATGAATACAGTGTCCTGGGAAGGGTTTTTGTTTATCTGGTTGGATCTTTGTCTTGGAAGAGGAATTTCAATTGAGAAAATGCCTCCATCAGATTGCCCAACATACCCTCATTCATAGGGATGAAGATGCAGAAGGGAGTGAGGGTATATTGTCTGCAAGTGTTGGATACTTTTTCTAGAAGGCTTTCTGCAGAAGGAAAGAGAAGCGGAGGTTAGTGCTTAGGGAAGTCAGGGGCTACGGTGGGTAGGATCTTATGTGAGTGCTCATTATGAGCAGGGGCCTACATGGTAGACACAGCCCCACTGGTCCAAGGGAAGGCAGTTATGTAAACAGGGTGGAATGGGAACAAGCCAGATACCACACAAAGACCAGGGAATTCTTCCATCAACCTGGCAGAGCAACAGGAGAGCACAGAAGCTCCCCCTCAAGTGTGCCCCCGACCTGTGTGTGTGTGTGTGTGTGTGTGTGTGTGTGTGTGTGTGTGATGTTTAGTAAATGACATTGTTAAATTCATGGCTGGAAAGGAGAAGAATCCCCTTTCTCCTCGCCAAGGTCTCATTCTATACTTCAGGTTGCCTTGGAATTTGTTACGTAGCTCAAGATAGCCTTAAACTTGTGACTCTCTTTCCTTAGCTGTCAAAAGAAGAAGGAGAAGAGGAGGAGGAGGAGGGAGGAGGAGGGAGGAGGAGGGAGGAGGAGGAGGAAGAGGAGGAGAAAAAGAAGAAGCTAGAATTACAAGTGTGAGCAGCTATACTTGGAAAACATATTTGTGTTCTGTCTGTCGTATCCCTCTGGCTGTCTCAGAACAAGCTTCAAATGAGGCTGGTCTTTGGGTAGCGTGATAGCAAAGTGGATAGCAAACATCCTTAAGAGCAAGAGAGAGAAGAGATGGTGTGAAAGGCAGGGAGCAGCCGTAGGGGAACCCAGCACTGTGGATGTCAGTGAATGCAGGCTTTCCCTGATAGCAAGTCCATGCACACTAGTGGGAAAGTAGGTGAGTGTTGTGTATCTAACTGTGAGCCATTCCAAAAGGCCACAGAGTGATTGTGTTTTCTGCCTTGGTTTCAAAAGTAGTCACATGAGCTGAGTACGAGGCTGTGACAGGTACTCCTTTCACCTTGACAAGATCTAGAATCATCTAGAAGACAAATTTTTATGAGAAGTTTTTCTCAGTTAGGTTAATCAAGATGAGAATCGAGATGAGAAGAACTAGCTTAAATGTAGACAGCACCATTCCAAAGGCTGGGGTCCAGGACTACACAAAAAGGAGAAATGAGCTGAGCATCAGAGTTCATCTCTCTCTGCTTCCTGACTGCAGATGTGTTCTGACAGTCTGACATCTGCCTCCCATTCCCGCGCCACAGCACACCTTTCCCACCGTGGCAGACTGTCCACAACAGCTACTTGTTTTCCCACTAGAGTGCAAGCACTTGCTACCAGGGATAGTCTGTATCCAGGGGTATCCACTGTGAGTCAAGAGAAGCCCTTGCTTCCTCAAATTGGTTGTTGTTTGGGTCGGCTGGTTAGGTTGGTGTGTGTGTGTGTGTGTGTGTGTGTGTGTGTGTGTGTTTGTCAAAGTAACCAAGGCAAGCCAAGTAGAGAGCTTGTCTAGTACATGCAAGGCCCTGAGTTCAATGCTCAGCACTAGAAAAAAAAATAAGTAGAGTGCAGTTAAGTGCTATTACTGTGGAAATGTGTCCCAGCAGGCAGAGAAGGAAGGCAAACCAAGGTGGTAGCTGACATAACAAAAGAGTGGTACCTGGAGCTGGAGGCTGAAGGACACAGAGATGGTAGACCCGGTAAAGCTCAAGAACTTAATGTGAATAAGCCAAGGGATGGACTTTCCTAAATAATGTCACTAAGGTTGTGGCTGTACCACTGCTAGAATGCATGTGCTATGACAGAAAACTCCAAGCCATAGTGACTTCAACGATGTTTAAAAAAAAAATGGTGTATTTGCTAGTAAATGTGAACCAAGGAGGTGGGCAGCTGAGGGTGGAGTGTTCCTGTTTGAAGGACTCCTCTCTGGACACAGCTGTGGCCTTAAACACACACTGAGGGCAGGAAGGTTCAGGTTCCATAATTCTCAGCATTATAAACTCCCCAAGTAGAAAACGCCCTACCAATGTGCAGGCTTCAAACCAAAAGCAAGCGTACACTAGGTACAGAGGTATCTCCTAAGGAGAGCCAAGTGTCAGGAGACCCATAGGCCACTGACTGCTCTACTGATGGACTCAGAACCACATCGCAGCACAAGGGAGGGATCCAGAGTCTTTAACTATGAGCAGATCAAATGAACCACCCTAGGTATTGATTCATAAACTTTGAGCTCACAGGCTCTTGGAGCTTCCACATTGTTGAACAGATGCGATTATCAGCCTCAAATGCTTTTTCCAATCAGAAGCATTAAGAAAACTCAGGATGGAGAGATGGCTCAATGGTTAAGATACCAGGCTCCTCTCCTGCAGAGCTGCCCGATTTAACTCTCAGCACCTATATAGAGGCTCATGGCAGTCTGAAATGTTCGTATTGCATAAATAGATGCAGGCAAAGCACCCTCTCATATAAAATAAAAATACATAAACATTTTATAAAAAGAAAACCAGAAAGAACACTATTGCTAGGCTACCTGTGGTGGTGTATGCCTTCAATCTCAGCTTTCAAAAGGGAAAGAGTGTGGTGGTTTGAATGACCATGGCCTTCATAGATTCATATATTTGAATGCTTGGTCCCTATTTGGTGGAACTGTTTTGGGAGGATTAGGAGGTGTGGCCTTGTTAGAAGTATGTCACTGGAGACAGACCTTGAGGTTTCAAAGGCTCCCAGACACCATGCCATCTCATCATCTGCCTCCTGACTGTGGATCAGCTGTAAGCACTCAGCTACTGCTCCAGTGCCTGCTTGTCTGGTGCTGGCACACTTCCCACCAGGTCATGAACTTACCCTCTGAAATTGTAAGCAAGTTCCCCAAGTCAATACTTTGTTTTATAAGTTGCCTTCATCATAGTGTCTCTTCACAGAAATATAACTAAGACACAGAAGAAGGCAGAGCTCTGAGAGTTTGAGGCCAGTCTGGTCTACATAAAAGGTTCTAGGCTAGTCAGGCTACATCATAAGATCTTGTTTCAGTAAAACAAACAAACAAACAGGAACAGAGCAGGTTGTCATAAGCCCTGACATGTGACTTTAACATAGAACCAAGAATGGAGGGAAACGTCAGTTGTGTGTTAAAAGTTACCTACATGAAGCCTAGTTCAAACACCAGAACTAATGCTGCAGGCCTTGGTCTTGTGAAGGCTGGATGCCCCAGTGTGCGGGAGGGCGGGGGGGTAGATTTGAGGGCGAGGAGGTGAGTGGAGTCACACCCTCATAGAAACAGGAGGAGGGGAGATGGAGTAGGGCGTGTCTGGGGGGGCTGGGCAAAGGGAATATCATCTGAAATATAAATAAATAAAATATCCAATAAAAACAAACAAACAAAAAGACGACCCACTGAGAGACTCTGCAGGGTGGAGGTGGGCGGGGCCTTGCTGCGACACTCATGGGTGGTGGTGGCATGTTTGGCTTTTCCTGTCTGCTTCAGTGCACGGCTGCAGCTCCAGTTCCGGTCTGACGCGCCACAGCATGGCTTCTGCTTTGGGGGAGTTGCAGAAAGACCTAGAAGAGGTCAAAGTATTGCTGGAAAAGTCCATTAGGAAAAGACTACGCGATACTCTTAAAAGTGAAAAGTCCAAAATTGAGACAGAACTAAAGAACAAGGTGCAACAGAAGTTGCAGAAGAAACCAGAACTTGATAGTGAGAAGCCGGCTGCTGTGGGTGCACCTCTTACAGCAGGATACACTGTGCAAATCAGTAACTGTGGATGGGATCAGTCAGATAAATTTGTGAAAATCTACATCACCTTAACTGAAGTTCGTCAGGTTCCCACTGAGAATGTGCAGGTGCAATTCACAGAGATCTTTTCATAAAAAAACTCAAAGGAAAGAATTACTCCATGATTGTGAACAATCTTTTGAAACCTATCTCTGTGGAAAGCAGTTAAAAAAAAAAAAGACCTCCAGTTGAACCAGCACCATTTGTTGAAAATGCTGTCCTTTTTCCACTGGACAGTTTTAGCTCCTTTGTCAAAGATCAAGTGACCATAGGAGTGTGTGTTCATTTCTGGGTCTTCAATTCTATTCCATTGATCTTCCTGCCTGTCTCTGTACCAATACCAGGTAGTTTTTATCACTATTGCTCTGTAGTACAGCTTGAGGTCAGGAATGGTGATTCCTCCAGAAGTTCTTTTATTGTTGAGAATAGTTTTCGCTATCCTGGGTTTTTTGTTATTCCATATGAATTTGAGAATTTCCTTTTCTAACTCTGTGAAGAATTGAGTTGGGATTTTAATGCTCAACTATGTTCATAGCAGCCTTATTTATAATAGCCAAGAGCTGGAAAGAACCCAGATGTCCTTCAACTGAGGAATGGATTCAAAAAATGTGGTATATTTACACAATGGAGTATTACTCAGCTATTAAAAACAATGAATTCGAGAGGTTCCTAGGTAAATGGATGGAACTAGAAATTATCATCCTGAGTGAAGTAAGCCAATCACAAAAGAACACACATGGTATTCACTCACTGATTATTGGATATTAGCCCAGAACCTTGAAATGCCCAAGATGCAACTCACAGGCCACATGAAGCTCATAAAAAAGGAAGACCAAGTGGGGGTGATTCAGTTCTTCTTAGAAGGAGCAACAAAATACTCAAGGGAGCAAATATGGAGACAAAGTGAGGGACAGAAACTGAAGGAGGGGCCATTTGAAGACCTTTCCACCTGAGTATCCATCCCATGTGCAGTTACCAAAGGTAGATGCTGATGTGGAAGTCAGGAAGTGCATGCAGATAAGGGCCTGATATGGATGTCTCCTCAGAGGCCTTCAAGAGTCTGACATATTCAGAGGCAGATGCTCACAACTAGCCATTGAACTGATCATGAGGTTCTCAATGGAGGAGTTAGAGTGAGGACTGAAGGAGCTGAAAGGGTTTGTGGCACCATGAGGAGAGCAACAATACCAACCAACCACAGCTCCCAGGGTCCTAACCACCAGCCTGGGAGCACTTATGGAGGGATCCAGGGCTTCAGCTGAATATGTAAGAGTGGAGGGCCCTGCCGGGCACAGGTGGAAGATGAGATCCTTCACCTCATGAAGGCTGGACGCCCCAGGGGGGTGGGAATTTTGAGGGTGGGGAAGTGGGAGTGGTGAGGGTAGGAGGGGGTTACATCCACGGAGAAGAAGGAGGAGGGGTAAGGGGATGGGGGGGTTCCCGGGTGGGTGGGGGATGGGGTAAGGGGATAACATATGAAATGTAAATAAAATATCCAATAAAAAAAGAAAGAAAAAAAAGACAAGACTGATACAGTTATTATCCTATGTAAAAGGAAAGCAGAAAACACAAGATGGGACTACTTAACTCTGGGGGAAAAAGAATTCGAAGAGAAAGAAAAGCCTTCCTAGGACACTGAGGCAGACCCTAGTGAGGGATTAATAGATGTTCTAAAGAAAATTTATGAAAACGGAGACATAAAGCGAACCATTAATAAAGTGTGGGTGGAATCCAGAGAGAAGCAAGCCAGAAAGGACAGAATTTTGAGGCTTTTAAAAGTCCTTATGGGAACTGTGATGTGGAGTGCTCATGTTTCCAGTAAGGGAAACATATTTGTTCTTGTGAGTCTGTAGTTTTGACAGATAACTATTTACACAGTCTTCTAAGTAAAGACAGCAGATTCTCCATTTCTTACTGGAGGGTTTGATTTAAATAAATAAGCTTATTAACTTTTTCCTTCATTAGCACCCCAGACATTTTGTTTCAGAAAAGGCTATATGGCGTTCTTATTGAAATGTAAAAAGGAAGTCTTATATAATGAAAATGTGACATCATAGATTTTTGTTCTGGTTGGGAGATAGAAAACAAAAGTTTTTGTCTATCTGTAACTGACATTAGGTTCCCCATAATGTTAAACTAAAAGCAAAATTTTTGCATAAAATTCAGATTTGCACATGAACTTGCAAGTTACTATAAAGCTGTTATCCGTTATTAGCAGCTTAAGCAACATGTGAGCCATATGTTACCATGTGCTAATTGATTTAGGTATATTTATGAGTATAAAATTAAACAGAATACAAATGACAAAAAAAAAAAAGACTCACTGAAACCAGAAACCACGATAAACACTTGAGTTACCACCAGGACTGCAAAACATCAAGGTGAGGCCAATAAAAGAAACAAGAGAGGAAGAAGCACAGATATGGTAGAGGCTTTGATGTTGATATTTATGTTTCCAGCAAGATGTCTCACTAGACTGCTCTTGAATCCATTTGTGTTATTATAGCAAAACACTTTGGGATGTAAAATTTGCTTGTTTTGTTGCTGTTGTTTGGAGACAGGGTTTCTCTATGCATTCCTGGCTGTCCTGGAACTTACTCTGTAGACAAGGCTGGTTTTGAATTTACAGAACAGAGATCGTCCCTGCCTCTCCCTCCCCGTTGCTGGGATTAAAGATACATACCACTTCCACCCAGCTGGGATGTATACTTTATAGATAATAGAAATGTATTGCTCTCAGATCTAGGTCTGAGAAGTCTAAGATGGGGGCAACAGATGAGATGCCTTGTTGAGAAGCCCTCTTCATGGATGTCACCTCCTATCTGTCTGCACATAGTAGAAGGGTCAATGGGCCCATGCTACTTCCTTCATGGCTTTTATACTAGTATCTAATTCATAACAGGAAGGCCCTCATGGCCTACCTACCTCCTGCTGATTTCCTCTGTTAAGCCCCATGACCGTGGCATTAGGCCTCTGCATAAATTCTTTGGAAATCTAGACACGCAGACTCTAGTAAAAGCTGAGAAAACCACCTGTTGGTATCTGTTAAAGATGTCCAATAAAAAAACATGAAATTCTTTTCAACTACATGCCAATCTATCCTGTGCATAACAGAAGCATAAAGCAAAAATGATGTTTAAAAATGGTGCACTATGAATTATGGTGTCTGGCCCTGGTCACCTAACGCCTGAGGCCAACAGCTGCCTCAGAGTCTCTGCTTTCTCTGGCTCTGTAGTGTCATATGGAGGGGACATTACAGTGGTCCTGTGTTGCAGGATATTTGGTCACACTGTGAATCCTAACTAAGACTGTGTTATTTACTAAAAAACAAAGACAGAACAAAAAACAAAACCATGGCAGACAAAGTGACAAATCAGAGAAAGATTTGACAGAATAGAATATGCCCAACTCTCTTGAGAAGAAAGAGGAAAGGGAAGCTACTTAGGAGAGCAGTGGGTGGGTGGGGGAAGGGCAAGAGGCAGTTGGTTTTTTTTTTCTAGACAGAGTTTCTCTGTGTAGTCCTGGCCATCCTGGAACTCACTCTGTAGACCAGGCTGGCCTCGAACTCAGAAATCCACCTGCCTCTGCCTCCCAAGTGCTGGGATTAAAGGGGTGTGCCACCACTGCCTGGCCTGAAAGAGGCAGTTTTACCAGGAGAGTTTTTACAGAGATAAGTTGCAGAGAGAACTAGACATAGGTGAAGACAGAACAAGCCAGAGAATGAAAAGGAACCAGAAGATTAGAACCTAATTGCTAGAGTTAGTTTGATGCCAAGCAGAGCAATTCAGAAGAAGCCAGAATGAATAACAGCTGGGAGAGAAGTTTGAGGCAGAACAGCTGAGTTGAACCAGCCAGGAAGAGATCAGAAAGAACCAGGAAGAGATGAGCTTATTTAGCAGTAAGTCTCAGAGGCTGAAAACATTCTAGGCCCAGATGAGATGGTATGGAGGCTAGAAGCTTCCAGGACTAGGCCTAGGTAAGCAGACAGAGGCAATAAGCCTCTGAGATGACAATCTGGGAAAATAAAAGTTACTTTTATAGTGCTAGATCTCTAAAAGACGGGAAATTAAAATGAAAGCATAAGTGAAAAGTTGAAGAGGAAACATCCCAAGTTAAGCAGTCAAGTGGGGTATGCACTGCACATAGAGAGACCCAGGGCAGGCTCTCCATGAAAAAACAATTCAAAGAGGTTTCTACTTTGAATCTAGGATGACGTGGGACTGTGAGATTTACATCTCCTGTATTGGTTCAGTCTGGTCAAACCTAAGTACGGTATACATATAGAGACTGGAGAGATAGCTCAATAGGTATCTCCATCCTCTTCCTATGGTGAAACTGACCAAAATCAACTTGAGGAGGAAGGGATTTCTTTCACATCACAGCTTATGGTCAATTATGAAAGGACGAAAGGACATCAGAGCAGGAAGTCATGGCAGGAACCTAGAGGCAAGAACTGAAGCAGAGATGGTGGAGGAATTCTGCTTATTGCCTTGCTCTCAAGGCTTTGCTCAGCCTGCTTTCTTATGCAAACTAGAACCACTTGCCCAGAGGTAGCATTTCCCAAAGTGCTACCTCCATATTAACACCCCCATATTACTCATCAATCAAGAAAATGCCCTATAGACAGACTTGCCTATAGGTCAATCTGATGGAGGCTTTTGTTTTGTTTGTTTTTAGAGACAGGGTTTCTCTGTGTAGCTTTGGCTGTCCTGGAACTCACTCTGTAGATCAGGCTGGCCTCGAACTCAGAGATCCGCCTACCTCTGCCTCCCAAGTGCTGGGATTAAAGGCGTGCACCACCACTGCCCAGCTGGAGGCATTTTCTCCATTGAGCTTCCTCTTCCTAGAAGACTCCAGCTTGGGTTGTCAAAAAAAAAAAACCCAAAACAAACAACAACAACAACAAACCAGAACAGCACATGACAGTACTTGCTAGGCAAACAGGGGAATTTTAGTTCAAATTCCCAGCACCTAATTAAAAAAAAAAAATCTCCAGATGTATTGCAGGCATGTATATGTCCAGTCCGTGTTAGGTGGAGACAGGAGGATATCTGGGGCTTGCTAGCCACCAGCCAAGCTCCAGCCTCAGCAAAAGACCCTGACCTGAAGGAAAGAGGTAAGTGGAGAGTGAGTGATATATCAGGACACCTGACACCCTACTTTGGTCTCTGCAAGCCCATATACATAGGAGGACACACACACCACCACCACCACCATCACCACCACCACCACCACCACCACCACCACCACCACCACCACCACCACACATATCAATTAAAAAACAATAAATGTAAGGAGGTGATGAGCTATTCTCAGTCTTCAGACTTGAGAAGGTAGAGGATGTCCTCTAGAGTTCCCTAGATGATCTTGCCTAGAAATGATGGAATACACAGCACAGCTTCTGTCTAGATGTGTCCCCAAATTGCAGATGTTGGGAACTCACTCCCCAGCATGTAAGTGCTGTGTGTTGGGATGGCAGATGCTGTGTGTTAGGTCTGGAGCTCTCCTTCGTGAGTGGACTAATTCTGTTATCACGGGAATGGGCTTGTTATAAGAACGACTGTGGACATGGCTGAGCAAGTGCTTACTGCTCTTCCAAGACCCTACACATCAATGTCTGTCAGTATTTCAAGGGATCCAGGCACTCAGGCACTGGCACTCACATAATTAAACGTAAAATAAATACTTAAAGAACACTTTAACCCGCTCTGCATCCCTCTCCTCCTCTTCCCCTCCCACCCTCTCACCTTTTGACTGTGGCAGGAAAATGAAAAACAATGAAAGACCATAACAGTAAAAAAAAAAACAAAAAAACAAAAAAAACCTCAACTGTATAAGGAGTAAAGAGGTCTTTGGAACATAACCTAGTGTATAGAATTAAGGAATTGTGCAGCACACTTAATATAGCGAAGTACTACATGGGCCTGTAGGGGCACACAGGTAGCACATGAAGGATTTGGTGTATGCTCATGGACAAACGTTGTTCCAAGAGGCCACAATAACGAAAGGCAATAGACATGATTTGTTCCGAGAAAGCTTACTTATGGACATAAAACTTGGATTTGACACATTTTAAGGAAGATTTATACTCTATTCTGATACAATTAAATACATAAAATGCCATTGAGAGACAACATCTGTCTACAGGCTACAGATTCCCTATTCATGTCCATACAAGGGAAGTAGCAAGAATGTGTACACCTGACCCATTCCCTTTGGAGTTACAAAGTTGAGACGAATTCATCAAACTTGTTTTACAAGTAGCTGGACTTCTGTGGAGGAGTGCTGGCTACAGCTGGGGTCACATGACCTGACTCACAGGAATAGGGTCGAAGCTTCAGGAACCAGGGTGGATGGAGTCTGTGCTGGAAGGGGTTCAGCTTCTAGGCTATAAAATAAGAGGGTAGATCTAGACCCTGATAAGGGACACAGGCTTTCGGGGGTTTGGGGGGGGAGGCATGGTAGATCTGGATTCTAAGGAGGCAGGTTTAGGCTCTCAGGGAGACTATGAGGCCAAGTCTGGGTGCTCACAACCCAGCGTCAGTGAGAGAGAGAAAAAAAGTACATGTTGGAGAGCAGCTAGTGAATAAAAGGCAAGAGACACTCTCCCAGGCCTTAGCCGTCTCTGTTTGCACTGAAGGCTTCATAGTCATGCTGTTTGCTTAGTCATGTGGATATTTGCAGGTGGGATGAGGAGGTAGAGGTGAGTCAGCCTCTGTGCACTCTGTGCAGACATGAAACAATAGAAGTGAGGTAGAGTTTCTGCTATCAGTCATGTGACTGCAATGGGAAGCTTTGCACAGTTGCCAAAGAGTAAATCCAACAGGGAGATAGAATTCTA